AGCTGGTTTATTCACTTACGCGGTCAGGATCCAATGCCCATTCAACAGGCGGTCAAATCCGGACAGATCCGGGACCCTGAACCTTCTGGTACCTGGACCACAAAGATCTGGCGCACTTCGCAGGCGAATCAGACTCATGTTCGAATTCAATAGCTTAAAATGTTTGTTGACCCCGTTTCTCACTTCGGTATTGAGGCTACAAAAGCAAGCGGTGATCCTGACGAAGACGAAGCGGAATTCGGTGGTTTTGATCGATTATGGCTCCTCTCCAGCCGAAATGAAGATAACTTAACGCCAAACTGTAGCTTAACAGAGCTCAATATGTGACCTGACTGGAGCTAAAATCGACCAAATAGGTCCCAGCTTTTACCGGCCACGGTTAATTCTCTGAAAACTTCTGAAAACTTGATTTGTGTCAGAAAGGCCTTGAGCTCCTGTTTTTTGGCATTGTGAGATGATAGTGGTCAGTTTCGGACAGCAACTGTCCGAATCCATTTGAGATCAGTGCATCCAAACCCTCGGCTCCATTGTGGAATTAAACGCAGGCTAGATTTTAAAGACTTATGCGGCTAAATTCAATACAGGAAATGAAGTCTGCGCTTGCTTGCACGCTCTTGTCTTCCTGCATCGCAGCGCTAGAGCGCACGAGTAAGGTTATGGTCCAAGAGTGAGGGATACGCGACTTCGGATATTCACGGTTGTACGGAAATGACGTCATCAGAATGGAAATGACCAATCAGCTGAGCTTTCCCCGTGCTTCAGCGTTTTCAGCGTGGGCAGTTGAGGCAGGCTGGGTCCGACTGCGATTAAACTGCGTCTCAATATAACCTGAGCGTGGGCTTGGCGACACTCCTAGCGAGTGCGGGCAGCGGCTTGGCCTGGCTGATTGTTCGTGAAACCTCAGGGCAGGATTTCGGTCGCGCTTCGTCAAAGTTTGTCGATTGAGGCTGCTCCTGGCGCGTGAGAGGCCCTGAGGGCGTCCGGTCAGCCTCCGGCGCCCTCCAGTTGAGAGAGAGTTCGTTAGGTGAGCGTGGGCGATGGTTGAGCTGGTCCCGAGAAGATGGTTGAGCCGCCTCTGGTTCTTCGGACCCGCAGCTGTTGTTGCGCAAGACGAGTGGAGCTCGTTAGTCCACTGCAGGTGATGCTCAGGTAGAATCCAGAGAAGCGGATTGGCCCAGTGCTAGTAAGAAGAAGCGTGGGGGTTTGGAAAGTTCACCACAATTTGATCTCACAGAAGAATTGATGTCATCTAGTCACAAAAAACTGAAACATTTCGTGTATGGCTGGTCATTGATGAATTAATGAGTATCTTCTTATGGTGGGCATCATTGAACAAAATGGTGCACGTACACGTTTTTTTTGTTGTCAGAGAAAAGCAGCAATGCCTATCCTGGATATAAACAAGCTTGGGTGCGTCCAACATCCTGTTATCGAATTCAACACGCATGTGATTGAGCGTAATTTGTTAAAGATAGAGTGGTGATAGCAGTTCATCAAATATTAAAAGGAAATATTAGATTTCAGACAGCTGTCAACCTTGATCCACGCGGAGCTTACAATGCAAGGCACCCGATGTTGAGCGTAAGCGTATAATGTTCGTATTTTTTGTCTTGTATAATCAGCTACATAAGACGTTTTTCAGACTTCTTCCTGCCGAGCTGAACGGGGCTTTGAACGGACGAACAACACAGATTAAACTTTGACAACCGGCTTGGAGATGTTGAACAACAATTATTACGTGACCTGATTTGAATGGCAACATCGTCCTTAATTATTCTACCTATGTTATTCTATAATGGATGAGCCTTGTTCAAATTTGTGGCAGAGTACATAACGCGGAACAAACAACTTTCAATCCCCGACGAATAGTTGCTTCCAATCGCGGTATGCGTTGATTTTGGCGAAATGTCGTGGAGACCCATCATATGATGAAAGATCGCACCCAACTTGCAGCTCGGAGCGACTAACCGGGGCAGCGCCATAGGCCCTCTAATATTCACACTTGTCAATAGACCCGATGGCGTAAAACCTTGATTAAAGTGCGCATAAAGAACATAACCTGACAATGTCCGCAAAGTGCGATACATTTTGTCTGTCTTGAATGTGCAGATATTTTTTGGTCTATCTATTTTTACCTGTGACCTGACGTCGCTCAGTTTGGATCCTGACGTCGACTATTTTGCTCGGGCACACAGCACTCAATGACGTTACTGGGTACGCCACAGACAGCAGAAACCCTATCTATTCTGGAACCAGCTGGCACCGACCAGGAGACGGCTAAAGGCCCCATGGGATGATTACATTTCCGTTTGCTTACGGCAAGAGCCTGGCGTGGCATGTCGCGTACACCACCACTTTTACCGCATCCAACCTTACCTCTTCCGCGGTAGCCGCTGGTGCCGCGGCTGAAGAAGTCGAATGCAGAAAGAGCAGAAAGCACTCGAGCCTCACTCGGTGGTTTCAGTTTCAAACAGTCGCCTTTGAAACCAGCGGGGTCTGTGGCCCATCGACGAGAAATGTTGAAAGTCTCGAGGCTGGGCTGATTTCCTCGTTCGGCGATAGAGCGCTTGGCTCTGGCAGCGTCTGGCTGTCGCCATTGTCAAAGGAAACGGGGCCTCAGTGACAATGATTTTGTTAAAGTCCCAGGCCTAAATGCATAACTCAAGGGGGTTATGGTTCCGCCGTGCCCGTCATACCCGCTACACTCATACCCACCTGGAGTCCCGCCAGCTTATCACCTTTGCACTTGCTAATTTTAGTAGCGCTTCCGTGATAGCATAAACAAATCGAAAGAAGCAGAAACTCTTTTGTATCATTTAGTTGTGTCCATTATATGTAGTTGTGAAATGTGCATCGTTACTCCCATATCCTCTGCACTTAACTTTGCCCCTTCCCCCTCCCTCCTGGCGATTGCCAAACTCAGCCGAGCACAGGATTCTTGCGACTGGTGGCCGACCACGAAGACGGAACGCGCTAAGAAGTAATTAATGGAGCCGTCCAGTGATAGCGGTCGGCTTAGTGTTGCGCATGGTTTTCCATGATTTGGACTAGTTTTCTCTTGATCAGAAATATTTTCTACTATGCACATCTGGTATTCCATGCGATCGTTATATTCATGCCTGCCTCATTGCTCCGATATCAACATAATACATACGGACATATTAACAGGCATAACGGGTAGTGGAGCGAGTTGCCCGTATTCTGTTAAATTTTGATTGCTTGGACGTTGAGGTAGTTTGATGTGCTGTGAGGGAAAGTGAAATACTCTTGCCGGGTCGGGGAGCTAAAGGTGGCGGGACCCTGCACAAACATGGTTGACTGCAGCAGCACGGACTAGTTATGCGCTGACCCGCGACAGTACGAGGCGTATTCCATGCTACGACGAGTCAGGTTACTGCACAAACGACATGTGATCAGCCGCAGCAGCGTGGCCGGCGTCAGCGCGGTGATGTCACTGGTATTATTACTGTTGTTTGGTCGTGCTCATGAAGCAGAACGCAGCGGCGTCAGCGACAGTGCTGTCCAAACGAGCGCCATCCTGCTTACGTAGGTGTCACATCGTGTCTCCAGTCGTTATTTCTAGCAATGATTTCCGGGAGTGTAGGAACGTATGCGAATAATTTGCCGTTTGCCGTTACCTGCCGTTATGCAATGACTTGGACTGTTGCCTGCGAACGTGTTCCTTAATCACACGCGACGATATCCTGTGACATCACGAAAATGTTACGGATCAATGGATCTATTCATCGATGGCTCCGTCGCTTGCGACTGAATTAAAATGAGGTGCAGTTTTTGATGATGAATTTACGATGATAACCAAGGATAAATATCGCTTGTGTAAATCGTTTTTCTTACTTTCTTGGTGATCTTTTAATGCCCTTGAAATTTCAAGCCATGGTGTATATATATATATATATATATATATATATATATATATATATATATATATATATATATGGATGTGATATTTGTTTGCCTTGAACGATCGTGCTAAACCGAACATCCGTAATGCCTTTCTAAGATCTAAATCAAGTTTGTTGCGCGTGTGGTATGTGTTTAAAATCGTATCCGCTCATGTACACCATGCACACCATTTCAATCTCATCCTGGTTCTGCTGCAGGGGTAAACCTGTGCTAACGAGACTTTGAGCTGGTCGTAGGTAGCTCGGTTGGCCTCCGGGTAGGCTGACACCCGTCACGCCATGTAAAGAGACCAATCGTTAGTGAGACACTACCTGCCTGTTCTGAATGCTGAATGGCTGACACTGTTCGTAAGAACCGAAGCTTTGGTGCTGGGACAACGGCTCCAGCCTTGGATCTCGTACAGTGCCGTTGATGGTCCCCTCCTTTTTTATTTGGATGCTTGTTTACCGTTGCCTGACCGGCCTGTGCCGTCCCCACCGGAACTCCCGAGAGTCTTGCGTGCGTCGCTTGCGAATCACCCTCGCGCAGAGGGTCGCTCAGCGGGGGTAGGGGAGGGGGTAGTGCTGGGACAGTATAGAGCATAGAGCTAGGGAAATGAACGAAAGTTCCCCAAAATCATGCTGATAACATTTCAGTGGTGAGAGCTGAAAAATTTGGCGATATTGTCACGCTGCTTTTAATACATATTGTCATGCCAATTTCACATGCTATTTGTTTACAAAAGAGTGCCGCTTTGTACCGCACACTCATACGGTAGAATCCGCATCTCGACACGTGCACATTGCGTTGGTATTGTGACCTTTCATTTCGGGTGCAGTAAGACCATGCTTCCCCTTCAAGCTCAACCTGAACATGTCGTTCCGCTGTAGGTATACCGTGGCCGCGTCTTGCGCCGCACAAACGAGACCGTGTCCTTCCGCTTCAGATGCATCACCATGCCATCACCCGCCTCAATTTAAACGTTACTAAGTACTTCTGTTCCAGGTACAACACGTCTTCCGCTTCGTATACAACATGTCCTGGTTCAAGTGCAACAGATCCTTCCGCTTTAGGTACAACATGTTGTTCTGCTTCAGGTACAACGTAACCATCTTCGTGCTGACGTACTTCCTGCCGCTGGCGGCGACGGCCTACTGCTACACGCGAATGTCAGTGGAGCTGTGGGGAAGCCAGTCCATCGGCGAGGCTACCCCTGTCCAGGTGGAGAGTGTCAACAGCAAACGCAGGGTGAGACAACAGAGAGCACAGAGAGTGTCATCAGTGGTCGGCGACAATGGAAGTCAAACCCGTAGAGTGTGGGGGAAAGGCGGTAGCACTCGCGGGAAACGTTCGTATCACAGAGCTTGTACAAGGTCTTCACCGAGATAAAGTTAACAGGTCTTATGAGAGGCGGGATGAATTCAACGGAATCACCCGCTTCGTCGCTTCCATTCATATGCATGACGAAGCGCGGATGCATAAACCATTGTGCGTCTAAAGTCTTCAAAATGCCCATCACGTCCTGACGCACATTCTTGTCGCGAAATGAAAGAGGAGAGGGGAATAAATGGACTATTTTTATGCGTCAGATAGTGGGACAACCGTCCGGGATGTAGATTTCAGTCTGTTAAGATTACTACAGTCCTGATTTTCATTTCCACGAATGAAGAAAGAAATATTCAAGATCACCATGGATGCCGCTTTTTGGCGTTGAGAAATCCTGGTATATCGGAAGGATTTTTACATCTAGTTGTGAGTGTTCATGCGCCTGCGGTGGTATATATATATATATATATATATATATATATATATATATATATATATAGGTTGCACTATGAGCAAATACCAACCATTTTCATGAGATTCTACAGTATCTACTCATCGTTGGTTACAAATGGCCAATATCCGCGACCATTTACCGCCTTACACGCTACCTTCACCAACCTTTATCAATCTGGAGCCTGTGGTAGTAAACAATTATTCCCGATGCGACTGATGACATGATCACGTGCGTATACTCGTGAAAGGCTGCGATTTGTCCAGATATAGGCTCTACCCCGTAGCTCAAGCCGACCTTTGTGGCATCGCTCCTCAAACTCGTATTCATTCACCTTTTGTGATATAATATCTTCAATGGGCGTGCCACAGGGTTGTGTACGATATTTTTGATGTTACTTCCACTGCAGAGACAGGAAACTAATATACCAATGTATGCTTTCTAAAATATGTATCTGGCCCAATGATACCTAAAATATGTATTGTTGATTATACATAACATGTGTATTATTGATGATACATAAGATATGTAAAACATATTCATGTTGATGATGCATAAAATATGTCATCAACCATTCAATATGTCTACCAACTGGTTCAACCAGCCGTTGGGTCCTTTACCTTACATGGCGTCATGGTGCCGCAGATACCGATGTATTTTTCAAACATTTTTTTTCATCACAGACGGTGGCCAGGTGACGTTGTCTTTCCGACTCTCTGCGTCACCAGATGAAAATCTAGCCCAGGGGCGGATTCTTCACTGCTTGAGATCGGCCGGCCGACACGCACAGAGCGCGGCGGACACCCTCTGTTGATGCCCTCCGGTAATGAACGTAATCTCCGTCTTTAATCTCCAGAACGTCATCCAGGCCCAAGGCAGACCACTCCCCAGCGAGCCGCCTCGGCCCGTTGAGGTGATGACGCAGGTCCATCACGGCGCGACGGCACGAGCGTCCGCGCCGTGATGGCCGACCGGGGTCGTCCGCGGACGCTGCGCAGTGAAATGTGCTGAAATGACAGAGCTAAACTTATTGATACCACCCAGTCCAACATGCCGGACGGTGATAGAGACCGGCTGCAACGTGGCACGAGGCCGCTGCTGGCACCTGGCAACGTCGCGTCTGCCTGTCTTGTATTGGCGTCATTGTATGCACCCCTCTCCCTATACACACACACGCGAACGCACGCACGCATGCACGCATGCACGCACGCACGCACGCACGCGCGCACGCACGCACGAGCGCACACACACACACACACACACACACCACACACACAACACACACACACACACACACACACACACACACACACGACACACACACCACACACAGCACACACACACACACACACACACACACACACACACACACACACACACACACCACACACACACACACACACACACACACACACACACACACACACACACACACACACACACACCACACACACACACACACACACACACCACACCACACCACACCACACACACAGCACACCACACACACACACACACACACACACACACACCACAGCACACACACACACACACACCACACACACACACACACACACACACACACACACACACACACACACACACACACACACACACACACACACACACACACACACACACACACACACACACACACACACACACACACACACACACACACACACACACACACACACACACACACACGCACACACACACAGAATGGGCGTCCCGTTGAACATAATGGCGTAGCCTCTCAGCCCTCGTGGGCATTGTGCCCGTGGTCGGGTATATCCTTCCTCCAGGTCATTCGGCACGGTGTGTGGGTGTCAAAGTGCGGTCTTGTTCATTATATATTTGCTTTACTGTCCTGACAATGTCTGACACGGCCAATGCTGCCACACTCGATAAAATTTACTCAATATTTGTAAGTTGTTGAGGAAATTTACCATTTCTCTCACTTTAAATTTAAAAAATAATATTTTTTCCAAATTTGCTAGCAGCCGCGTGCAATCGAGAGGGGGGCATCAGATGTAAAGTGGCACAGACTGGCAAACAAACTGGGCCAAATAAAGTAAGTCCGGCGAGTTACGGGCAACCCACAGTTTGGAAGGGAGATCCCTAAAATGCAAGCACGACTGCGTGGTGATGGCCTTGCATTTTGATATGCATTTCACAATGCAAACCATGTGTTGTCTGCAAATGCACAGAAATTATGCCATGTTATAAAATATTGAATGACAATGAATGCGCATTATTGCGGACAACCAACAGCAGTGGTATCGTACGATGATGCTCAACACGACCGCTATTAATCCATTGCTGAGGAATTATATTTAGCATTCAGATAAGCATCTATAAACGATCTATTCCGAATCTGGTCGTATCAATAATTCATTGGCACCGTTATATGTGTCTGCTAGGATGCAAGCTAGAATTTGTTGGAAAATAATTTTTAAAACTTTTGTTCCTACGATAAAGCAGTATCTTAGGCGCGCTGTAGGCGTGGCTTCTGCTAATGAAATTTGACTCCTTTGAAGCGTGACCAAGGCAGGTGTAACTTAAATTTGCTGTGCGCTGTTTGGCATGCATCTGACTGATTGAAGCTACGTTTTTCAGGCGAAAAAGGTTCTAAGCTAAAGACTACGTTTCTTATCTGACTGCCAGTGCTTAATTAATTTGTTACTGAAATCGTGAAGCTTGGTGTGAAACACCACCTGAACCAGGCATTTCAGGTCAATATCTCCAGTGAATTAAATAACCTTCTGCGATGAATGTGTTCCGTTACACGGAAATGGGAAGAATTGTTCAGGATTTGGCGTTCAGACACTTTGAAGGGAGTATTCCACATTTGTATGAGGATTTGAACTGAAATTGCATTCCTGAAGAACATTCGGTGCAGTTCACAGCCCTGTCTCACATAAGACCTAAACCCGTAGGCATAATTTTGCAGACCGAGTTGTTCTGGCGGGATGAACAGTGGTAAATGACTCGGCCTACCAGCAAATACGCCAAAAAAACGAAATTCTCCTCGACTTTGCCCCACCTTCTCCGCGAAGTTGGGGGCTGGAGTATAACGGTGGAGGAGGAGGAGAGCCAACTTGAGGGAGCTGAATAGGAAATTTTTTCCCTGCTTGCCGCTGTTTTTTTTACGTTCTGTCGGGAGTCATTGATATAGTGAGAAATTAACCACATGGGCTTAAGGAAGGACCCAGATCACCAAGCCACACTCCTTGGCTGCGCCCCTGTTCCCGAATATAGATTTAAGGGGCAAAGCAATATCGACCAAAGCTCTTTCCACATTGAGGCAAAGCTCTGACTTGTTACTATGCCGCAAGGAAGGAAGACCCGCTCCCCGAGATAGAGGTCATGCTGGAAACATGTGTGGTTTTGCAAAACAAATTCGCCTGCAGTCCATCGCTATTTAGTTTGGTATGTTGTCAGACCGTCCTCCAAAATGTGCGTGCAGTTTGATCCCACTAATTTTGATTTTCGTCTAAGCAGCATAATCGTCAAGCTTTCACATTCAACTGTCCAAGTGGACTGTGATCTGAGTTGTCAGTTTGTTGAATTCGGTGCGTACGTATTTGAGTCAGAATCATTTTTAAAAGGCCGCAATTAACTGGTTAACCTCGGAGTGGGAAATCGACCACCGACGCAACACGGCTCGGATCTGTGCATCGCCTAAAATGGCATCATTGAACAGCAACATAAGCAGAACACATAACATGGACAATGAATTCTAAACACTCAGCGTCAGCTTTTTAACGCCGCTCCTTTCCAGCCTCCATTGCTACTGATTTCGTCAAATGTACACCATCATCGGCCTGGATTTTTCTGGCGGTTCTCTTTCGAAAACCGCACGCGTTCATTAGCCGAAATTAACCCTTCATTTCCTGGTGTCGGATACGTTATTTTTAAACCATGGCTGGGACGCTTATGCATGTGGGTTTGGTTTAATGCACCGCCCAATGGCCTTCTTGCCGAGTACGCTGTGTGAATAACCGTGCCAATCTATTAGTATTAGACATGTGTGTGATAATGTGCATTTTGAATAGCCTTTGTAACATATATAAGAATCTAAAATGACCTTAAACGTGCTGATTTCTACATTTCTGGGTGTGCTCCGTCCATTCCCACGAAAACCTTTAAGGTGTTCGTTTTTATATGATTTTTCTGAATCACACGCCAGCACTGTAGATAGCGTGGGCAACCACATCATCAATGCTTGCTTTAGCGCCAGCGTATTAAAAATATATTGACACCAAAACCAACTTCCTTTCCCCATCCAGTGTCGTAAAATTAAACCACCAAAATTGGTACTCTAGATCATGTGATATTTCTTAGATTGCGCTAGCACTGCTAGGTATGCTATTTGACGTTACCACATAGTTTTTACTACGGGTGTTGTTATACTGACCCCGTGGCGGGCTTCTGCTTGGAGCCGGTCGCACCCCTTGTAGCGGGCTGT